CCACCCCCAGCCGCAGCAGCAAGGTGGTCGTGCGTCTTTGTCAGTCTCTTATATCTTGCACAATGTGTTCAATATTAGTATCAGTGTTCGGCAACCAGCCTGCCCAACAGCCAGTAGGCGGCAGCCTGTTCGGTACTGGAGGCAGCCTGTTCGGCAATACCCAGGGTCAGCAGCAGCAACCCGCTCAACAAGCTAACCAACAAGGCGCATTTAGCTTATTTGGTGGAGCAAAACCCGCTGTGTCAACGACTCAGCCGACTGGTAGTTTGTTCGGCGGTGGCACGTTCGGACAACAAGCCCAGAACATGACTTCTACGCAGCCATCAAGTATTTTTGGTGCCCCTCTTGGTCAACAGCAAAGTACACAGTCAGGGACTGGCTTATTTGGTGGTGGCAGTCTATTCGGTAAGCCTACCGCCACACCTCTAGGATCAACCCAGAGTCAATCAAGCGGCGGAGGGCTATTTGGAAATACCCTTGGCGCCTCTACGAACGCAATGAATGCTTCGTCGTTGGGCCAAAATGCTCAGACGCCTTTGACTGCTTCTATCGCTCAACCCATTGCAACAAGTTTGCCCATCTTTAGTATGCTACCCCCTGGTCCTCGCGCTGTAAATCTGGAGCAATCACCGAAAAAGAAGCCTGGTTACTTCGTCGATGTACCCACGCGATCGCCTGTCCCACAGTTGGGGCTCAGCTACGCGCCGGCGAGCACAAAGCTCCGTGGTTTTGGATCCACATCCGTTGCACCTGGAGCAGGCACCAATGGCAGCGGTTCAATATTCGGTGGTCCGAGCAAACCCAATGCGTTGTCGCTTAGCAAGGCCACAAACGGCAAGAGTATGCTGGGACCCGAGGCGTTCTTGACTGGGGGAGGACCCAGTCCAACGTTAGGTAGTGGCAATAGGAAGAGCGTGAAGAAGCTCGTTTTGGATAGGAAAGTTGAGCCATCAGATCTATTCGGCAAATCGGGCGTTCAAGGCAGCAAGGTCACTTTCAGCCCTGCTCTCAGCGTAGCTGCGCGTGAAAGAGAGGCCGCTGCTGCTGCTACCAGATCATCTCCCGCACTGCAACCTCCGGAATCACCATCACCGGCTTCTCATGCTGCGCGATCGCTGAATCGCTTCTCAGCTCACAGTACACATAGCGTACTTGGGACGTCCACTCATCAGGAACAAAGCTCGCCCGCGAAGGAGAAAGCCTCCGCTGAACTTCAGGAGGGCGACTACTGGATGAAGCCCGATTTGGAGACTCTGAAGAAGACTGGGCACGAAGAACTCATGTCGCTGAAGGGTCTAGTCGTTGGTCGTCAAGGCTATGGCCAGATAACGTTCTTAGACCCTGTCGACCTCACGAACGTTCCGAAGCTGGCTGGGTTACTAGGTGAACTTGTACGTTTCGATGACAAGGAGTGCAGTGTATACCCGGAGTATGATGATGCTGAGAAGCCCCCTTCTGGCTCGGGATTGAATGTTCGGGCGAAGATCGAACTTATTCGCTGCTGGGCGCTAGACAAAGCTACCCGAGAGCCCATCAAGGACGAGAAGCATCCACACGCAGTGCGGCATCTGAAGCGGCTGAAGAATATGAAGCATACACACTTCGAGAACTACGACATTGAGGAAGGGAAATGGACATTCACTGTGGACCACTTCTAACGCGGATGTATTGTTTGTTTAGCTGCATATTCTTTTACTACATATGTATATCGCATGTATGTATTTACAGTAGACTACTATGAAATATAAATCATGCGAAACACGTGCATTATAACTATTAGAAGGGATGGAATAGAACAGTCGTGAGTAATTTATGGGCGGCAGCTGAGCCGGTCGCATCGGTGGCAATTGTCAGTGAAAATCACTTGCTAACACTTTCCTTGGCTCTGCTTCTTGTCTGTTTGTGTCGAGTACCGAATTTGAGTATTACTGCATCTGTTCAGCTTGATTTCATCTTTTTCTGTATCTGTAATATTAACAGTACGTGGAGGTCCAGCTGTTTCAATCTCCTGACACAACAAGCTTGTGGCACGTAAACACTGTCACATCGGATGTCTCGCATTGCGAATCTGCGAGACGAAGGGCGAGTACTCGCTGTATACCACTTCATCCCGCGTGTACTAATACTCACCTAATACACTTGGACAGAGCATAAATTAGGTGACTGTTGCTAATATGGACGACTCAGAATCATCCCCATCACCCCTCGAAGAAGTGTCTGGCGCGCGGAGGAGGGATCACGACCCGCAGAGGCGAGGTCATCGCTCTTCAAAAGATCGTGACCGCCTATTCATGGGGGGGTCAATGCGCGAACTTGCTCGCTTACTCGTATACCAAGAACATGATACCAAGGATCTCCGGAAGATGTTTGCAGACGTGACCGAACAGCTCAAGGCCGAGACGCTGCGCGCTGACACTGCGGAGGGCAGGGCAAGGGAAGCTGTGCTTCGCTTGAAGTCTGCTAACGATGCTAAGGTCATCGCACAGCAAGAGGCTACACGTGCCAATGAAGAGCTGCGTCTTTACAAACTGCAGCTTGACAATGCGCAGAGAGAGATAAACAGGGCGCAGCAAATCATCGATACGGTGGAAGCTCAGAGAGCAGAGGCCGAAGAAGTTGCGGCTCGCGCGCGGACGACAGCGCGGAAGCTAAAGGAAGAGAAAATTATACAGCTTGCCCGAGAAGAAGGTCGAAGGCAGGGTTTGGAAGAAGGGCTTTCAAGAGGGCGGAGCATTGGGTTTGAGGAAGGGAGAGCAGAGGGCTACGCTCGAGGTTCGGCGGCGACAGCGAGGTCGCGACATTCTTACCCAGACGACTTGTCTGAGTCGCCTGTTGATGAGCGAAGCCGTCATAGAGACCCGACGTCAGGGCCCTCTGGATCATCCCCAGACGACTATGACTCACGACCACAGTCAACATACTCGCGCGTTGTGGAACAGAATACGCCCGCTTCTCGTCCGGTTACGATGCCCGTGCCCGTACCAGAGCCGCAGCCTGTCAAGGCGACCACACCCCTAGTGGTACATAATGCAACAATGTCGCCCTCTCATCCTCCTGTAGACTTTCCTCCGGACGGATGGATACCCAAGATTGATGGCGACGACCGTATTCGTCTCCCTCCCCCTCATGAGTTAGCACCCCCGCCTCCTACGACGCCGTCGCCCCCTTCAACAGCTGCTCTCCAGAATGTTCCTCTCCAGGATGCTCCTGATGACAGACCGCCTTTGATGATCCCCCCGCCAGCAGCCGGAGATTACGGCGAGTCCGCCATGTCGGACAGTGATTCAATGACCACGCCGACCCACCATCGGCCTCGACATCGTCGTCGGCGGTCGTCAGAATCTCAATCGACGACAATGTCACAGTTTGAACTCTTGGGACCACCCGTCACAGCTGCCACGCGCGGTGTGGCTAGGGAACGGCCGGTTGTCTTGAGTTCTATTGCAGAGGAAAGGGAGCGCACATCGACTATGTCCTCTCCCGCTCCGAACCATGGCGCAGTAAGTACTATATTTCTCACTAACTTGGTGTATGTGTCCGCTCATGGTATCTTCAGTCGCCATATATGCCGTCCACAGGCTCGACATTCTTCATGCCTCTGGGCAGGCCACCATCACAACCATCGACCGTGGACATGAGATCTGACGATGGTGGTAGGGGACTCCCTCGCAATATATATATGCGCCCGGCACATTCACCCAATTCTTCGCCCGAGTCGGGTCATGCTCCCGGTCCTGGTATGACATTGCGACCACCTTCCCAACAAGGAAGTCGTACTTCTAGTATCTCAGCGGAATATGACATTCAGATTGAACCTCCCGTAAGCATCATTATCTCTTGCAATATATGATACTCACACACTGGTTCTACGCATATGAACTCCAGTCTGGCCCTGAGTCTGAACAGTCCAGATCAGGATCGGCACCCATGACACCACATCTTCTGAGCGCAGAAGACGTGCCGCCTTTACCACCTGCTGGTGGATCTCCAGCTAGTTCTCAACAACAGGGGACGTCTGGAATGTCGCCATCAAGTCCGGCTCCTATAGTCTTACCAGACGGTCAACTGCCTCCTGGATTTCAGCCGATTGGGCCCCCTGTCGCTGCGAGTTCTTTCGGATCCATGGCAGGAGTCCAGCCTCCTATGGGTATGGTACCACAGACTATTTACTCTATGGGGCCTGCAGGTGTCCCGCTCCCGCCGTCTACTTATGGAGGCACGCCATCGGTCGTCGGCTCTGTTGTCACACCAAGCACGTTTCGCGTAACAGAGCCAGTCATACCTCATCTCATGACCCCCGGCGCTGGCGGACTGGCCAGTATACAGCTGGGGAACAGATACAGCCGTTCTGCATTGAGGGACTCATCGTCAGACTCTGATGCATCTTCTGGCATGGGTGGATCCATGGATTCGCTGACTACACCCCCGACACGACGCAAAGACCTCTCCAGGCAATCGACCCCAGCTTACGCGGTCGCACCAATCCCGCCGAACGTCACATATCCTGTCCCGCCAACGCCGCGATCGACAGGCTCTCGCACGACAGCCGCTAAAGTTCCTCTACCTCCGTCAACTGCGCCGTCCATCGGTAGTCCCGTGTCCGCAGCAGCATATCCGTATGGACAGACGCCGTACAATAGAAGTAATCTCGCCCTCGACACGAACAGAACGCCAGCGAATAGACCTATGTCGCCAATGACGAGCAGTGTGCGAGGAACTCCGGCACCTGTTCACGTTGAGCCTCGAAATTCGTGGGTCGTCTGTATATATACCTGACGGTTGGATTCTGACATGAATTTTCGACGCATAGGATATATGACCTCCGTTCTCGAAATGCTGAAGATAACATTACGCACTACGATGCCACTGCAAATGCAGGGCCCCCGCGACCACCCTCTGCCGCTCGAATGTCTGCCGTAGGATCCCCATCAGTCTCACAGGTTTCTCTAGCGCCGACGAATACCACTTCAAAGTCAAAAAAGTCCAAAAAGTCCAAAAAGTCAAAATCTAGAATCGCTTCTGTCGAGGAAGAGGATTGAGACAGTTTCGCCCTTTTCGATACAACGCCTAATCTGTCTAGTTGAATAGAAATGTTTTCATGATTATAACGTACTACTGTGACGACTTGATGACGAATTTCTTTTTCTTCGTACTGTACATAAAGCCAGCTGACTCCGGGAACGCCCCTAATCCAGTCTCTCCTTTCTACTCACTCCTCTTTATGTGACTGCATTCAAGTCTCGTGCGTGTAGAGTAGTGTAGGTCAATATGCGTTTCAGCACTTGCAATTTCTTATTTGCCTTTATCCTGCATCTTACTTCTTCCTCTTCGGCCAGTGGTCTGTCCCATGCATGATCTTACGTACGGGTGATCTACAAAGCATCGTCGACGTCGTTGTGAGATTTTTCCAACGTTACGGTGTCGAACCGTGGCATCAGCTGGTTTCGAAAGTGACATTCTTGCAGTGGCATCTCTGGGGCCGGTAGTCTAATTGTGCATGAGATTTTTGTCGCGCACAAGCCTGTAATTTACGCTCGTGTAAAGAAGCTTTTACAGTGTTATTCGGCATGCTAATAAAAAAACTCGAGCTCCTGCTCGAGCTGCGACCGTATCGAAAACGGGGTCAGCCTTGACATGAGGGCCTTTCGCGTCGCGTCACAGTCCCGTGACCGCGTTGGACGCCCTCGTAAATTGGCACTTGTGACAGCGCTCATACCCTTTCTTTTGCTGGCTCGATTCGATATGTTTTTCAAACTCTACACGCCATAACCATACACAGGCTGCATTCTTATGCGAAAGAAATTCATGAACAGTTACGCCAAAGCAACGTTGTTAATAGATATGCATCCGAGTCAATATGCAATAGGAACGGTGAGACCGACGAATGTATACACAAAACGACCTGATATAGGTCAACGCCCAGCGTACAAATAAAATATCTATGTCCATAGCCGTAGAAAAGCACGAAGATGGGAGGAGAGGATGATGCAAAAAGAAACGAGACGTTGCCACGAGCTAGTTATGTCATTTGTAAGTCGCAGCTGAAGTGTATGCAGACACCCAGGCTCACCATGTGAAAATTATATCCTAGCGCGTACTGAGCATCTCCGCTACCGCGATGTCTGTTACACAAGGCAGTTTCGTGTTGCCTATGTGCCTCTGGAGAGCATCGCGGCGACTGAAAGATAGTAGACATCCGCCCACCAACGTCAAGCCCTTGTGTTGGTACGGAGCGCATCCCTTGGGTACACCTGCTCTCATAGCGTCCTGTGGATAGACGCCGCAACACACCCATTTATCTGGGCTCTGGCCCGCCCGGTGAGTTTCCATGTGACGCTTAAGGTCTGGAATGCGGCGGCTGGCGGGAACATACCCGCAACATGGGCACATGCAGGAGCCATTGGTGAGCGCGTCCGTAAAGTCTTCCGCTGCGACCTCCGTCTGGATGTTGCGGGAACGGGGCCCGCTGGACCGGCGACTGTGGGATGAGGAACTTCCCGCGGAGGATGTAGGAGACGTGGAAAGGGCGACAGAGGCAGCAGGTGAGTCGTGTGAGCGAGAGGAGCGACTACGAGTATAAGGTTGGTAGCGGCGCCTTCCAGAGCCTTGAGATGGCGTCCATTCGGGATCATCCCCGTGCTCATCATCGCTGTCCAATTCTGCATCGTCATCCGATTCATCGGCGGAAGTGCGCGACCGAGTTGGAATGGCTCGTCCGCGTGCTGCAGAAGGTGCAGAGGACCTCGCCTGCGAGGGATATCCGTACGGAGTCGGTGGCACAGTGGCCAGCGAGAGGAGGGTTGGGTCAATTCCAAGAACGGGTGTGTTGTCAGTCGTACGCGTCTTGTTGTATGCTAGGGCTGCCGTTTCTGGAGAGCTGACAGGGAGGGATGTTAAGCTGGCGGACGCGGCGAAGGCAAGACGACAAGCAACTCACGATTTATGCACATGGTGATCCCAGGGTGCGTAACCTGCAGCTCCATGGTGCTGTGCGGTGTGCCTCGACTGATAGTCATAGCCGGAAGAGTCGCGAGGGAGAGGGGTAGGGTCGGCCATGGAGAGGTCGAGGAATGCGTCCGCCATTGCTTCCAAAGATACATCTCCATGGCGTCCCGCATGCGGGGCGCCTTGCGTCTGACGAGAAGATGGGGTGCGTGAAGCATGTGCATTAGAGCGTTGGTAGGACATGGCGAAGGATGAAGTGGACGAGGAAGACGAGTGTCACAAAGACTACGGGGGAACAGATCGTGCAACGCTGCGATGGTATGAGGTGATGAGCTCTGCCGATTGACCCTTTTATACGGAAGTAGGTCGCCGTTTTCATTGTAGTCTTTGCTCGCTGAAGGTACGAGAGTGGCCGGCCACATAGGGCGAAGAGGGCGTTCACCACGGAGTTTGAAATCGTTGAATTGTGGTAATGCTTCACAGTGGCGGGCACTGGTTGTGCGTAGAATGGGAGATACATGCGTATAAACTTGGCGTTGCAGAGTCCGCGAACGGCCACGAGTGGCTTGAGGTGGGCGCTAGGCGTGGACGAGTGGCGCGGAGGACGCGTCGATACGAGGCGCGACGCGGTCACATGACCGAGGAGGTCCTTTGAGCATTGATCGTGATCGATGGCCTCCGCACCCCACGCCCGGCCTGCGTGGCGCACGGCCATTGTGCCAGTTCTGGTTTTGTGTTACAATGACAACGCACAGGCCACCGCAGCGAGGCTTCGAACCCGGTGGAGAGCCACCATAATGCAACTCAAGTGGCTCGGCAGCACCCGCAGTGAGACAGGCGCCCAGCTGCCGTCCCGGCACATGAAACCTCTGGCCGACAATCTTCATTCGAGTCGTCAACCTCGCACGCAGGAAAGGGACTGGCGGGCACAATGGCAAACTCTCAATCGGACTATGAGATCTCAATTGGCAACCTCACCTACACTCATACCTCGGTTGGTCTGCCTTCCCTCTCCAATGTGTCCATGTACCTTCCAAAAGGCTCGCGCACGATCCTGGTTGGCGCGAACGGAGGTACGACCTATCCATAGCAAGCCCAGAGAAAATCGTGAGGCGTTTTTCTGACCTATTTATTGCAGCTGGAAAATCGACATTGCTTCAGATCCTCGCGGGGAAGCGGCTCATCCTCAACGAAGGCACCCATGTCCACATCAAAGGGAGAGACGTCTTTCGTAACTCTCCCCCAGGTGTTACGTTCCTGGGTACGGAGTGGTAAGTTCCTGGCGTTGATTGTCATGCTCCATCCGTCCATTTAACATGCTTGCTGTGATAGGGCAATGAATCCAGTAGTTCGCAGCGACATCGTCGTGAACGACTTCCTCAATTCCGTGGGAGGCTGGCGTCACAAAGAGCGCCGTGACCGCCTTCTTGACATTTTGGACGTCGACTTGGATTGGCATATGCACGCCATATCTGACGGCGAGCGGCGACGAGTGCAACTCGTAATGGGGCTAATGTCGGATTGGGACGTACTTTTGCTCGACGAGGTACGAACGCAAGCCTACCAAATAATTTTCACTACGTTCGTGTCGAATCATCTGGTCCCCCTGATAGGTCACTGTGGATCTCGACGTACTAGTCAGGGATGACCTCTTGAAATTCTTACGAACCGATAGCCAGACGCGCGGCGCGACAATCCTATGTATGTAGCCGGCGCCATAGAGCTTGATCTTCGCTGATGGCGTGTCGCTACAGATGCCACACATATATTTGACGGTCTGAATGATTTCCCCACCCACGTCGCGCACATGCACCTGGGAACTTTCCTTTCGCAGCCAGCGCCATGGCCTATGACGCCCGAAGCAGCCTCGCAGGTCGTCTTGGTTGATCTGGGATCGAATCCAACTCTGTACAAACTAGCTTTGCAGTGGCTAAGGGAAGACCGGGATCGCAGACGTCTGCTTGAGAGCGAGGGCCGTAAAACGCGCGGGGCGCGCCAAGATGCAGTGCCTTCGGATTCAGAGACATTTTACAGAAAGTCAGTCTGCCTGATGTTTTGGCTGCGACCGATCTAATCCATCTTCGATGCCCAGATACGACTACAGCCACTGAGTAGGACGGTGGATCGTTAACGATGTTGTCGGCAGAGCTCAACCTCACAGCATTGTAGATGGGATTAGAGATATTTTGTAGCGCCAGAGAAAGTACCTGTATGTATAAGCTCCTCAACGGACTTATTTTTGTAGTGTTGTCATGGGCTGGCCGACTCGTATGTTGCTCATGTATTGTAGTTTGAAACGGCAGTGTGCCTCGCAGTTATCAAGATGGCTGCCAGCAGCCTGGACCTGGGCGCTTGAGAGCGTGTGATTTATTTCACCTGATAGGTCTGATATTTTGCATCTCGCTATTTCCTTTTATATGAACCCTTTCCTCCGCCCTGCTGCAGTGCCCCGGTCTCTGCCATCGTTGGCGACACCAAGGAGATATCCTTCTGGTCTGCCTCCATCGTTCCCACCGTGCTGGCCATCGCAGGGCGCAAAACTTCGTTTCTTAGAGTTTGCTACTACATCCACACACTCTTTCAGTCTTTCGTCTTCACCACACCTTCGTCGCCAACCCCGTCGTCATGGTCTCTCACTTGCAACATCTCGCCCACCGCAGCAGCCTTGTATCTCGCTGTGTCTCGTGTCCTCCGACACCTCCAGAATGCAATTGCGCTGCTGACGAGACTTGCGCGTTGACCGTAGAGTGCGTCTTCGTTACCTCGTAGCAGAGATCCGCAGCCTAATATAGTGGGCACCTAGCACCTGCACAGAGTGCCCGACTCCCTACTGCGTGCCCAATGCTTCTACTAGCACCAGTTCATCTAGTGTAAGCTCAGGCGCAGTCGCTGGGGCTGTGGTTGCTTCCATCGTCTTCCTCGTCATCGCCATCGGCGCTTTCTGGTTTTATCGTAGGCGTCAACGCCACCGTCGGGCGGCCGCTGTTGCCCAGGACGCCAAGCCCGATGTCCCAGCCCGCGCAGAGGATGTTCTTAATCGGCCAGACCCCAATGAGAAGTCAGAGTCCGAGCACGAAGAGAGCACCCTCCGAATTTATCCCGGTACGAATGGCGGCACCATCAACCTCGATCCTGAGTCACAGCATGGTTCTACCACGTATGATGGCCACTCTCGTTGTGAATCCGATCACTCGAATCCGTTTGGCGATAACCATTCAATCCAAACGACTTCTACAGGCACGCACTCCAACGTCATTCCGATCGCCCTCGTGCCTCCCGCGTCGCTCGCTGGGGCGTCGCAGCAAAGCAACGTGTCGTCCACACAGACAACCAATGGCTCTTCCGCCTCAGGACCCGTTCGACCCGTTCGTGCGCCGGATCTCGATCTCACAATGGACAATCCGAACGCAGATGCAGAGTCACAGTTGTCGGACCTACCTGCCCCTAACAACCGCGCCTCTTATCTGTCTACGGGTAGTTTTGCAAGCGATGTCCTCAGCGAAGCTCCTGTTATCGTTACCCCGGCGCGTGGTATCGTCAAGCAGCAGGTTGTTGGACTAGTCAAGGCAGAGGTCATCCGAACGTCTCCGGGTGACAGCCTTCGTGCCCCTGCAAACCGTCCTCCTGTGCGTTCTCCTTTGGCGGGCTCAAGCTTCGGCCCTGCGGATGTTGTGCACGAGGCGGTGGAGGAGGAGCAGGATATTGCTATGCGAGGCAACCCCTTCTCGGACGAGCACGCACAGAGGTCGCCTGCGCCTTCGTCAGCGACTTTTGGCTCTGTCGTGGCTAGCCCCAGTCAATATTCAGAAGCGCCATCTACCCAGCTCGCCGAAGAAAGCGGTGGCGTCGACCGACCGTTGAGCACGTATACTCAAGCTGCCTCTATCGTCGGGTCTGTCATTAGCGCCAGCGTCGGCAGTGCAACTCGTGTGCATCTTGGGCTCAACCAGTATGGTGGGCTCCCCACCGGCCCCATGCCACAAACGGCCTCCAGCGGCGTGCTCAACTCTCCTCGTAGTCCGTATCGGTTGACAAGCGCTAGGCTAGTAAATGCAGCGCCTGCGGGAAATAACGGTGGCGCACTGGAGCAGCAACAGCACCTTGCGATGCAGGAAATCGATGGTCAGGGGAAAAGGTTGTCGTTCTCTTCCGTTGTCTCGTCTACGTCGACGCGTGCAGACTCTATCCTCGAGGGCTTCCATTTCGTACCTCCGTCGCCGATATCGAACCGACCCATCCGCACTCCCCCTCGCTCGCCCTTGGCGCAACAATCTTTCGGGACTAATAACGGCAATAGTGGTGGTGCTTCTCAGCCCGCTCCATCTCAAGAAACTTCTGCACTGAGGAGCGTTAGCAGGGACCCAGAATTGGCATCTCCCCCACCTGCAAAACCATTTTCTCGGAAGTCGCATGCGTTGTCCATTGCTTCTCAGTCCTCGACGCTGTCGAATGGACTCGGCTCCTTCCCTTTCCAGATTGATTCCGGAACTGGTAGCGATAATGCGGCTAGCACGTCTCCCCCGTCATCCTTTATGGGCCGCCAGCGAGCTAGCCTGGATACACTCGCGTTAACGAGTGACTTGTCGTCGTATCCGTTAAATTTCGACCGCCAGACTCCACCCCCGCCACTGCCACGACCCTAAAGATATTCACTCTATCGCGCCGAAAATGAGGCGCAATTCAAAGGCGCACGTGGTGTATTGTAGACTGTGACTGCAAATAGTGTACTGAACTCTGATTCCTCTCGTTTCTCCCTCGCCAGTGAGTTCAAGCTCGCGCCTTCCTCCCACTGCTGACCCGAGTATGCACTCCCATATACCTTTGCGCTTTCGTCTATGCGGGCTAGCTTCCTGCGACTGGTAGCGATTCTGCACTCATCTGTTTCATTCCTTCCGGTAAATACTTTACAGGACCCCAGCTTATATCTTATACGGCTATTTGCACTTATGTCTCCCTCTAAGTTTGTTACTTGTTGTGTTCGTTGACCGTGCGTCGCCACCCACTACGCCAACTGTGGGGACGCCGGCGTCCGTCGACGTTGTTGGATGCAGTTGTCGTGATTATTTATTTTCTTTATGCCTTATTGACGGTTTGAGTCGATTAAACGATGTAGCGAGAATGGACGCTCTGTAGGGCTTTGCTCAATGTCTGGAGCTGTGGCAGGTGGTTTTGGAACAACGTCGTGGAAATTACTGTCTGCACTTGATGCCGTGGCGCGTGTGGTGGGCGGGACAGAAACCTACTAACTGACTACGGCGTCGTACGCGTGTAGACGTGCAGTGAACCAACATCCTATTGTACGAGTGTCCATAGTTAGAAAGAGCCATTGTCCCCATTCATTGTTCGATCTATTCAGGCTGGCTATTTGAGAAACGTGTCTTTGGTGCTTACCCATTGATCTTGAAACGACAACTTTCTCGTAAACAGTGGTAAACACCATTTATTACCTTAACCCGTGGCGGGAGTTGAGCGCGAGCCCCTCTGAGCTTATGTTTCCATGGAGCCTATATCGACTATGACTTCTGAACGGGGTCGTAGATGGTGTGTCTCCCAAGGTATGTGCATCCGACAGCTCCCACAGCTAATGTCAGTCTCCGAGAGCAGTCGACGACTTTTCTGAGATTTCTTTTGCATTTTTTGCCGTCTGCCGTTGCTGGAGTAAAGGTGCGCGCCGTCTGTCGCCGTTCGGTTTTGTCAGCGCTCGTTCAAGTCCGCGCCTCTACAATCTGACTATTAACCCTTCCTGAATATTGCCTCGTGGAGGCCTTAAGGACGGATCGGATACCGGTGTGTCGGGCGACGTCCCTTGCCACTCGCTAGATCTGCAGCAGCTCCTCTAGTGTCTCACGCTGCGCCCGACTCTGTCTGCCTATTGAACTCGTTCTAGCAGAGTATAAAGGAAGCTGGGTCTGTTCATCATGTCTCCATTGCGGTTCCCTTCCCTGTGGCTTGTGGTACTCCCTAACACGCCGCTCCCTCTATACTTCCTCGTCCACAACCTCAATGGATTCCATACTATTAGAGGGTTTCGTCTTTAACGGAGAGGATGGTCGACTCGTTCATATTCCATCGGCCTCAGGGCCAACCAAAACCCACACTCCCTCTCGACCGGGGCCGTCTCCGGGCCTCCAGAAGCTCCCCTCCCAAAAGTGTGGGTTGTCTCCCTTGTCGGACGAGTAGGTCCTTCTGCTTTTGTAACACCGGCGACCATTCTTAGATCCCTCCCCTCAGCGACCTCCAAATCCTGTCTCTCGATGACCTCACTCGTCGGTAGATACCCCTGCTTAGGGAACGTCGTATATCTTACGAACCGAGCCGAACGTCGAGCACTCCTGCACACCGGCGTTTAAGCACGATTTTTATGCACTAGGGCGCCGGCGCCGATCACCACCTCTCGTCTCGCTCCGGACGAGCCAGGGGTGCGATGTGTATTATTGACGAGACCACCTCGGCGTGCTAGCGTTGCCCCTCTTCCTCTCCCTTGCGGTCTCGGTTTCATATCGTCTCTGTATTGGACTTGGGAACCATGGATCTGCATTTTTAGCAGGATCCATGTTATTATGATTCGTTGCCTTCATTGGTATCTTTATTGTAACTTATCTGTGTTGGTCCTTACATACCGACTCTATCTTCAAGTTCTCCACCTGTTTAGTTTTCTCTCCCCACTCTCCACACTTTTACACGATGAGCATACCATTTTGATCCTCCGTTTCCCGATCTCCCATTTCCAATACGCCTTATACCTGCAGTATACTCCCTCATAGGATGTCACCAATCCGAACGGCGATATTATTGACCTTGACGTCCCCCCTTCGCTCAACTGATGAGTGTTACGAGCGGGATATATTGTCGACGTGATGCACGGCATCGAGCATAAGACTTGGCTTTGTAGAGCTGTTGTGGATAACGTCATATAAATTGCAACTTGGGGGGCCGATGACGACTGCCGTTATAGAAGTGCTTGAGGTAACATGCCAGCATCAGCGATCAATTCACCACGATTGAGATGATAGACATATCATGTGACCTTGGTTCAGTGCTACAGCTTTGGCAATTTTCAAGTTGTTGCTGGTGCAGTCTCCGAGTCTCATATTGAATATTTGGCGTCTGAAATTTGAAGAGATGCAGAGATAGTTAATCGACGTCTCTACTAATAAAAGTCTTGAGTGGTAACTCTAGTATCTCTACACTCCCTCGCTTTAGCATCGATCTCATACCAACCCTGATCTTGAACACAGCAAAGCCTGCCACTTCTGCTACCAGAGGATATGCACAAGATACGGCCTATAGCTACAAGAATATGGTGCCAATATGCTTATGCACATGGTCTGCACATGGTTCGCTGTCCCAGCGTGCGTATTCCTACAAACTTGCGTTGGATCTCGGTGCCCGACGTCGGAGTTAGGCCTGGCTTCAACTTGCATAAGAAAAAATGGAGCTATGTCTGAGGTGTCGTCCGCGCCTCGGCGGTCGTTCGCAGAATTAATAACATAAGATCAAGATTGACAAAGTAGTTCAAGCACAATACTTCTCCCATTCTCATTTCTCGTTCATGATTTTTGGAACAGAGGTATCTTTGGCTATGCCAGCTTGAATGCCTAGCAATCCCGAGTTGGTAGTGTCATAAACCATTGATTCTCCTGGTCCAAGATGAACAACGAGGGTTACCAAAAACAGGCTACGGGTGCTTAATAATTTTCCCACACACTGCCGATCGAATTGTGACCCAGGGCGAAACTGCGACGGCGGAAGTGCCATACTGCACACTGACATCTGCAAATTGTTCTCGCCCGCTACGTCTTCTTCGCTCCGTCCTGGGTCCCATCTCAGCCTGGACCGTTTCTGGCAGCAATGGAGCCGGAAATAATCGATCTCACGTTGCCCAGCCCCCTTCCAGTAGTCGTCGACCTTGCAACAGAAGACGATGTTGTTGGCGTAACCGCGATGAGGTCGGACAGCAAAGTGGAAGGTAAGAAAAAGCCGCGACGCGCGAAACGGAAGCGAGGTGCGCCGGAAGACGGAGAGATTGTGGAGAGCTCTGTGCAGGTTTCGCGGGAGCCGTCGCGCGAGAGAACGTCTAGCACGAGCCAGCCCGGAGAAGATCAGCGTGCGCCGAAGACTAACGAGAGACCTCAATCAGAGAAGGGCAAAGATAAGCGGAAAGAGGGGGTGCAGAACAGCAAGTCGTTATTGGATAGACTTTCGAGTCCTCGTGCGAAGAGCAAGAATGAAACCCAATGGGACGAAGATGGACAGAGGGAGAAGGATAGTACACGAAGACGGCGGAAATCTAGGTCGCCAGACACGAGACGAGAGCGCGAGCGAGATGGTCGGCGACGAGAGCGCTCTCCCGCGCCGCGGCGGCGCAACATGGCTCCTCCCAGTTCAAAACGCGAGAACGAAAACGCGCCTATCTTCTATATCGACGTGCAGAAGACCGAGATGTCAGGATCCTTAACAAAGACGACTACGAGCATCGCGTATTCCGAGAAAGAAAATGAGAGGACACAAGTGGATCCACCTGTATTAATTCTCCCCTCACATGTCTCCGTATTCAGTGGAAACGGTGTAGATCCAGTCCAGATTTTGTCTCCACCCCACGAGGAGGGAGATGAGGAGGACAACTACATTGAGTACCTGGATTACGATGATGATCGTCGAGTACGCTAATTAGATGGTTACAATACGTTTAGAACCGAAGTTGATCGCTCTATTTAGGCACCAGGGATGATTCGGTATTTCGAAACAGTCCAAGAGGGCGATAAGCTATCAAAACCCAAAACGATTGTCTGTAAGAACTGCGGCGCGGAAGGAGACCACAAAACCTACGAATGTCCCGTACTGATTGTTAGTATGTCTTCGTTCAAGTTCGATGGTATGCGGCTCAAAAGAGATGTTTCTCATACTCGAACATAGTGCTTGACATGTGGTGCCCGCGATGAGCATTCGACCCGAAGTTGTCCCATAAGCAAAACGTGCTTCAATTGCGGTATGAAGGGGCATATTAACAAAGTAAGTCTCTGGTATTTCGCCATCTGAACGTGTGTTGACGTTAACGAGCATAGGATTGTCCGAACCGCCATTCGGGTAGGAATTCTGCGAACTACTTCAACGACTGTGATCGATGTGGCGCTCGGTCACATACATCTGATGTGGGTGTATGTATGACTTGTACGCGTGCTTCCGCCTCACTTTGATTTCAAGGAATGTCCCACTCTTTGGCGGCTGTACGAGTATGTCGATGATACCGAGCGCCAGAACATACTGCAAACTCGGGAGGCGAAGCAGACACTAGCTTTGGGTAAAGGTGGCGAAGGCTATATTGCGTCCGATGAGTGGTGCTATAATTGTGGCGGGTGTGGTCATCTCGGCGATGTAGGTGTGATCTCTCTTTGTTCTTGCGTTTTCTCAAACCATATTGTATCTAGGACTGCAAAGACATCTCGCCTGTACCTGATCTACCGCCGGAGCCGTCCGCCTTCAGTGCCTATAATGTCCTCGCTGGTCCATTCGCCGATCTCTCCACACTTTCCTCATCGCGGTCAAGCAACAAACGCCCACCACGAGACTGGGAGGTAGCCAGCGCGTTTGCCGACGGATGGGGCTCGAATATGCCTATGGAGGTCGGAAAGCAGGGGCGTCGCAAGCAGCGTGCGAAGCTAGAGAAGCGTGCGCGCGAAATTGAGGATGCGGAGGACGATCCGGACGACTGGTTCGGAGGACGGACATCCGGTCGAGGAAAGAAACGAGACAGCGATTCGAGGGGCGGCGGGAGCAAGAATCCATACAAAGGAAAGATCAGTTTTGGGGCGTCGGTCGTGCATCCTGGACGGCGAGACGATCGAGATGAGCGGCGACGGGGGGACGGACGTAAGCGGGTGTCTTACGACGACCTTCCTGGTCCCGCGCAGGAGACGGATTCTTTTCAGGTACGAGGAGCTGCTCGGCGGCAGAGTGAAGGAGATCGCGGCGATAGACATCGCGAGTCAAGACGAGATCGCGATTCTTCGTATCGGCGCGATGAGCGTGGTCCGCGGTACAAAGGAGGGTATGCACGGTGATGAATGTCATGTCATGTCAATTTACAGGCATGTATACTATGTATGATCCATCATGCACACTGGTGCTGCCTTGAGCCTATCTTACAAGTCAATCTCCTCACTTCTGGTTCAGTCCCTTATGACATGCATGTACAGAATCAACATATTCAACAACACATTTATATGCTGGACATACCAAGGACATGCTATTCATTTCACATCCACCAATTGCAATTCAAGCTAACTGATATACTACACCCAAAATACCACAATCCCAAGGTTCCCTAATCCATTTGCAACATCTCTTTGCTCATCAACTGAAAAGCAAAAACAATGCCACAAAAAGAAAAAGATCCCCCGACAACACAAGCCAGTACTGCAATAGCAAGGTCATCATGTCCCCGAGTTGCAAGCAGAGCCCGAGGAGCAAGGGCGACAAAAATTAGATAACCAATAATGGAGGCGGTGCCTCCATAATAGTGGTTAAACTATTAAGAACAGATACTACACTTGATCTAAGCCAAAAGGCCAGAGTGGTAAGGATCCAAAATGTCCGGGCGCTGCTTATGTACCCCGCACCGGCGCACGGACCAGCTCTTTATTTGGTGCGCGCACAGTACAAACCGGGAGGATCCGGCTCAGAGCCCACCGTGACGTAGTATACGATTATCATATTCACCCTTCAGGCCTGAAGGCCTCAGGTCTTCGAATTCGGGCAAAAGCTGCGGTGCCCAGTACTCCCCGCTGTAGACAGTACATCATATTGATTTATGCATTCCCTTTTGGTAAGTAATGGTGCGATTCGAGTCTATTTTACTGATACAAGTACTGTACAGACACGACGTTCCCGCGCATGGCGGCGCTATGTACAGTTTGAAATAACACCGCGACATTATCAGTGCAGTCCGAGGCTTAAGCACTCGCTGCAAGACATCTACCGAAGGCCATACGAAGTTGTGGAAGGTGCGACAAGACTGAAATCCTCTTTGCCATAACTCATTCCGCTACCGGGAGAGGAGTGCATGTCCGCAGAGCTGTCTAGCTGCGGAGCCATGTACTGGAAGCCCGGGTACGGCGGCGAAGTGATGAATCCGACCCCTGTGTCCAGACCAAGCATGCGTCCAAGGTTATCATAGCTTGGTCCAGAGTCCTTCGTCGCGTAGCTCGAAGACACTTCCACGGTGGTCATTTTCTTGACCTCCATATCGAGATCGTCGTCGGGAAATACTTCCCCCGCCGTCCGGTTTGACCTCAAAGTCGCGAACGTCATCAGGTTAGCCGTTCGTGTCGAGGCGTCGACTGCGGACAGTGAGTCACTACCAATAGATGTGGTCTTATCCAGTAGATCCCTTATGGTACTAGCTATTGGCCATATACTCTGAACAACAGAATCATCAGCAGATGACAATTCAACGCAATGATGCCGTAGGGCTGACCTCAATGCGTCGCAAGGCGGCCATGGTGTTTCGCAATCTCCCATTGGTTGACTCATCTTGTTGAAGGATGCTCACTTTGAGAACGTCAGCGAAGTTATTGTTTTGAGTGACAATTCTCTCACACGTAAGACTATCTACGATTCTGTGTTGAGAAGCAGTCAGAAAAAAAACGGTGACGTTAGACGATTCTTACCCTATAGACAGGATGTAGCCGGGCATGAACGCAGAGGTGAACCGAACAAATTGACTATGCATGACAGTGACTAGAGGAGATTCATGAGAGACGGGAAAAGCCAGATGTGCCTTCCTCACCTATTGATGCGAGTTGACCAGCAGCCTCTTGACAAACAGTCAGTGCTCGGGATTGCGCACTCTCTGGACCATCATGGAAATCGGTTGCCAGGGGTCCATGGATGCTACGGAGCGAAGTGAATGATCGAAGCAACACCTTAATTCACAAGTAACACTCACAAAGCCCGGTGGAGCAGGATCATAATCCACCAGTATTGAGCGTGGAGCTCAAGTACGCATGGTGACGGAGATGTGCCGATCCCAGACGAATCGAGAAGTAAAAATGCCGGGAGAGATTGGCGCCACTGAGACAGTCGGAATTCCAAATGTCTGGCGCGGATTTCAAGGTCGGATTGTGCGACTTGAGTAAAAGGGTAGAGTTCATCCATGATTGACGCAAGGATAGACGCTATATATACATCAGCCAAGCCGACCGGACTGGTTATATTCACATACATAGGATGCGCGAACTATTGATGCATGACAGCACAGTCGCCTCACTAATCGACTCCGTGACCAGGTTCCGCTCGCGTTGCGTAGAGTAGAAAATAGGCTCTGCACTTTTCGTCTGTGGATCTTGTCAGCGATCCTCATACAAAACGAGAGGCCCCGCTTGACCTGGCTTACGTCTACAAGCGGGACATCGGAATCGATCGAGGCAGTTACTGAAGGACGGCCTGAGTACAATATCGTGTGAGCGAGATTCCACATCGTAAATATAGGTTTATACCCAAGAGTGCAGAGATGTATCTGGTTGAATGAAGGCCAAGTTAGATTAGGGACAGGGCTCAAACGTACAAAAACTTATACCTATCAGCAGTTAGGCACCCTGCCCAAAGCTGCTGGCGCATCTGCTGCTCGTCCTTGGGAACTACATCCACACCAGATAATGCCCAATCTTGTATAGCTCGGTGCATTCCTAGAGCTACGGCCTTGATGTCATTCAGCAATAATCCGACATATAGCTATCAACGCTTTGGGTAACCCACCATACGCACGGCTACGCCTAATGATACGATATTTATATTCTAAAACAGTTACCGAAAAAGCTGAGACGTACCTATGTATAGCCAGCTACTCTCTACGCTTCCTATCCACATGGATTAGACCGTCAACATCGCTCTTCAAATGCCATAAACTTACCGACACCGACATAGTAATAACCCAGCAATAGTGATGCTTGGCAAAGTAGCGGATGTGACTGTCTACTGACTGTGTCTGTAAGATCATTTAGCCACGGTAGACAGTCGTAAACCTAAAGCCTCACGCAATAGCCTAATAGCTTCAGAGGCGAAAGTCCCGCTGTCACCGTCGCACGTACGCACGTCAACGTGTCTTAATGAAATCGCAGAGACAACCAATAACAAAATTTCAAACGATATTCTTGCGAGTTCAGGTGATCGTGTTGAAAACTGTGCAGCACTAAAGGATCAATCAGGATCGGGGCGACTACGAGTTTCATGCGAGGCAACGAACTCGTTCAGTCTGTCGACATTCGTTTCAGCAAAACGCGCTGGATAAAGATATAACACTTACTTTTGATTATAAAAAGTGGCGAAGTACGTTCTATTAATAGCAGGGAACATGGGATGTACATACTCAAAGTATATCTGTATGAGGTCGTGGTGCTGTTGCTCTGTTGACGATAAAAGAGCGGGCAAGACAGCTACCTCCGAGATGGACTTGGAGTCCTCCGGAGACCACAAAGTATCGCTATCAATGAGGGTCAACGATTACGATCCAGTCCTGTGAGGATACAAAGTATCTTGTGCAGAATGTCGCTCACATGAGTGTTTCTTCGTCGCGTCGTCCCGTTAGAATCTTCCGACATTGATGCAGCAGTTGCAGCCCACTTATACTACTGGCCACCCGCAACTGTGTGGTGCAGACGTAAAGTTTGGCCCAAACCAGACGAAATGGTCCTACCTGCGCGTCACCGTCGACGTAGACATCGCCGGTCTTGGGAAGCGCCTTCATTTCCGAAGCTTCGGATTCTCCCGACTCATCTGGTCCGAGTCAGTAGATGGAGTTCGCGGCGAAATACGGACACGCACTATCGATTTTTTCTAGACCCTCAAGGCTGTCCCAGCTAATATTTTCAAAACTACTCGTGGAAGACAAAGCGGCCAGTGGCGATAGGGCCGCTAACGGGGTGATGGGCGAAGCTTTCGTCGGGAAGGTTATATTGCTGGACATGAGAGGGAACGACATCCGCCTGCTCAGATCTGGCATGTATGAGTCCAAAGGGTCTAGCTCAGAGCGTAGCTGAGTGAAACCAATCTCGGACGATCGAGGTAACAGCAATCGCTGTAAATTATCTTGCCAGATGCTGCTAGGGCTCACCAGAGCGAGGTTGCCTAGACAATCAGGGTCAGAACTCTCAATGTGGAAGGCAGTAGGCGAAGCATGAACGAGACCACGGGCATTACGGGTGCTCACTTTTCGATGATCCATCATCTAGGCCAGTCAAGATGGAAGACAAGAAGTCTTCTTTCGTAGAACCAAAACTTCATAGGAAAATCAGAAGATCTATGTGACGTTATATATGCAAGGAGATGGTAAAGCTTACGGATGCGTGACACGGCCCTTTGAACCGAAGGGCCCCACGTCTACCCTTTGAATAATTTGATTGGCTAGATGGTCTTGAGATAGATCCTGGAGGAGCCCCCGTGCCCGTGGGTCTTCCGAACCTATGATAGAGCCCAAAAGTGCCTCCACCTGATGCAAGCGCCGTTCGATGGTTAGGATATACCTAATATTCGAACATCAGGAGCAAATGTTGTCTGAGCCGGAAGCTACATACCCCTTAGGCGGGCCGCGCTTGTGAGTGGGTCCTAAACTAGCCGTCATGACTATCCCCATGAAACAATGCCTTCAACACTTACCAGCAAACGTACAAGCTATGCGCGCCCAAAACTTAGTCGTGCTGTACGGAAGACTATAAGTGCACTCACAAAGACCCAACACAGCACAACTACGACAAGGTTCCTTGACTGAGCTGGACTTGTCGCGCTCACATTTACTCTTCGTTCGACGGCATTGATCACAAGCTGGAAGAGAGAATGCACGAATTCTCATAAGTGCGGCGACAGACGCATTTTAGAGAATAAGCTCACCTCGCGTACTGCGCCTTCGTGAGTTTGCGTGACTTTCAGTAGGGGAGGCAAACCTCTCCTCATCTGACTGTTCAGAATATGCTGCGTTGAGGGACATGAAGGGTGATGCTCAGAAAGCTATTCAAAACAGAAGCTAAAGGGAGTTATATGGAGCTGGTAGACCGACTTGCTGGTCTCTTCGCGAACTTCACCAAGTCTCTGGACGGTAGTCGGTATTTATGGGAGCATGTTCCATCGCAGAAGCAACTTGCCGCTGACATTGGGCCACTTGGGAGCCGCAAGAGGCTCCGACACGGTATTCGGCGGCGGATACGGCGTATGACCGGACAGACCGAAATTCAAAACGAATAGGTACCTGACTGGACTGCAGATTTCTTGAACGCGCACTGACATTCTTGACGTCATCACTCATTTCTGATCATTGATAAGAGCTTCGTATCAAGATCCAATTCTGGACCTACGCCTCAGAACATCCAGTCGCTCGTAGATTCGGCGCGAATGGAATCCAACAGACTTACGTGCATACCGGTACTGCCCCCGGGTGAGATGGTCTCTCTCACGGCCGCGGTCACCTGTGTCCAGCTTCGTTCCTGACATCAGGCGACGCCACACCGGACGCGTCGGTGCACGCGTTATTCTCTTGACAATACCTTGTTTACACTAGAAAGGAAGTCTGTATATCTCATCTTCGACAGCCTTAGACTTGACACGCCCAAAATATTAGTAATTGTGAGAAGGGGGTTTCGGCAACGTACAAGCTATTCCAGTTCAAAATGCGCGGCGCGGCGTCGAACCAAATCTCGTCTGCCCAGGCAGAACTACATCATTTGCTCACATTCAGAATAGCAGTAGTTCAGCGATGAGACAGGAGGCTTTGTCAAAGTCCGCAAGAGTGTACATCCAGCTCCATAGAAAGTCGACGGAGTTCACAATTCGGTCACAGAAACAGCCGTTGTCCTAGCCAATCTTAGCCCCTGAGGGAAAATGACTTACTTTTTTAACGCACAAGAGACTGTTGTTTGATGGAGGGCTCCCGGCGAATGTTCGAAAGCTAGCGGCGCACTAAGTGGATTACATTGCACAACTGCGAATTCAGGCTAGCTATAGACCGGTGCCCTCGGGTCTAGCAATGTTCACTCTAAATCCTTAGTGCCGAGCTCTTGCCATCAACCCCAGTGAAAGCATTTGAAACCAGGAGACCCTATTCTCTGCATTACCGACAGTTGCATTGTGGGAGACCACAAAAACCAAGCCAAAGGAGAAAATGAGGTACTATCAGAGCGACTCGAGAGGAAAACGATAACGACCGCGGAAAATACCGAGTCTGCGAAGTTGTCAAGCGGATATTTCCTTTTCTGGTAATTGCCACAGCTGGGTTTCAAGCGCGTCCTTCACTCATTCATGCGCGACTCTGCTGCTTGTTCACATTTCGGGTTACGTACCATTCGCCTCGTAGCATCATCACCATGGAGAAGGAAGTGAGACAACTTGTCGAAATGGTATACTATCTTTCGCGTTTGCGAGTAATGTGTCTCATTATTCTGTCAATCCACTAGGGCGCGACGATTGCACAGGCGCGAGCTGCCCTCCAGAAGCATAAAGATGTGATGCAAGCAGCGGAACGTATCTTTGATGGGAGCTTTGACCACCTACTAGACGCAGATGGCGACGTGGAAATGGGCATCAGTGAGCCCACTGAGACACAGTCCAAACCTCGTATGATTGTACGTATTTCCGACCTCAGGCTGAATTTAACTTAACTTTAGGCTGACGGGCGGGTCTAGACGCCACATGAGGGTGATAACGACGAAGGGGACGAGGACGACGAGGCGCTAGAAGGTGATGAGGATGACGAGGACGACGGTAAGTGGTCGCACCCATAAACTGACTATCTGGCTGAGTACCCATTGTGACACAGTGGAGGATTTTGGTGATTACGACTCGGACGATGGAGGAGCAATAGAGGCGGGTGCGAATTCTGCCAATGCAGACCCGTATGCAGGTCTCATCTAGCCTCTATGCCCTTTTGGTTGTAACTGACTGCCGTCTAGGCATATTCTTTTCGAAGGACCGGCGCGAGGAAGTAATTGAAGTCGAGGAAGAACCGGAGGTTGCTTATGTGCCGGAGGTGAAGGAGGAGGTAATGCTCATGACTCAGGGACAGTGGATGAAAGGCTGTCCGGAGGGTGGCGAACAGAGTTTTTTGTTTGGTTTGTATAGAGAGCTCAGCGAAGGGGAGTGCCGCTGTCCACACGGTTGTCGTGCGTCAATTCCCAGGAAGAAGCAAGACTTCTTCTCTCTATTTGTAGGTGATCTTTTCCCTCTGAATGCATTCTGATCGAACTGTGTCGCCCAGGCCGAGTTTTCTACCTATGTCAAACATCTTCAGACAACGGTTCTGAGGTCATGTACGAAGTGTAGAAAGTCGTTTTGTTTTGCCTGCGGGGAGCCGATTGCCGCCGATCTTCCAGAACGCTCTCTACTTCCGGAGGAAGACATTATGCTCTTCCATTGCTCCAACCTACAAGGTGTCATTCTTGGTGTTGGACTTGCAATGTTGGAGAAATTGTACATTGAGCAGGCGCAGGACATTTCGAATGGCCAAGAAAACAGAACCAGCGGTGGAAAGCGAAGAAAAGTCGAACCCGCCGTTGTGCCGATCCAGCACGATCTTGACGACGATGAAGATGAGGATAATTATTATCCTCCAGTTGTTCAAGGGAAAAAAGCGAAGCTGGGCGTAGGGTACGCCGGAGACGTGCGAGAGGATGTAAGTTGAGCCATAATTCTACGCTAGGACTGCTCTGAGTTTTTCCACTCAGACATCTGGACAAGTAGAGGCTCTCGCGGCACAACGAGCCAAGGACGAGAAGCTTGCTCAGCTCCTTTCGTGTATCCGCGTTTTCCTTCCTTCGCTGCATCGAACTGGTGGTGGCCGGACCAGCGATTATCTTGTACATCCTACCGCCCTCGCACATCTCCGACGACGTTTTAATTTCGTGAGCAGTCAGCTGCTGCGGAACGACTCACTCGTGGACATGTCTGACCGATCCGTGTTGTATATCGAACTGTTTGAATGGTTAGAAGTGCGTCTTTCCATTCGATACGCTCTTTGTGGCTCATCTTATGAGAGTTTGAATAGACAATTTCATGTCACGAAGCGCTTGCTAGCATGATGGCGATGCCTATCATGGTGGTCACTTCTGTTAAATCCGTCGCGCCGAAGAAGACTGCCGCGAAAGGGAGCAATAAAATTCGCGAGCGTACTATTATCTATGAGGGGAGCTCGGGTCCCCGTGAGCTTCTGGAAGCTATTGTTATTCAAGCGCAGGCGGCAATGAAGGGATTGGAAGGATCTAAGCCTATAGAGACTTGCATTGAGATGACGGAAGAGGAGAAACGGATGACAGTTGATGAGAAGGGCAAGGCTCGTGACTCCGGACGTCAGCTTTCAGAGGAGAACAAGAAGCTGCTGACTTTTTGCCAGCGTATCCTCGGCACCGCAAAGGCGATTGATCGATCGCTGAGCGAGACGAAGGGTGATATGTTTGTGACGAGGCTACATGCATCCCTGCCCAAGATATCGACGACCGGCGGCACAAACACGCCGCAGGTTCAAGCTGGAGATACGGAAGAGAGCACGATGAAGGCGTATGTTGATTGGGCCAATCGAGTAAGGTTCGAGTATTGTGACTTGTCGATACCACAATCGGATACCCCAGCACAAGGCAACGAGGATTCAAGTCCGCACTACAAGTTTTATTTTAATAACGAGGCTCGTATGCTAGCAAATGCTGATATACCAAAGCGGTCCTTGGCTATCGCGAAAGAGGTAAGTCCTTACATGCCATGTCTCTGTGCGTGCTTACCAGTGGACTCCTCGCAGCTCGCGGTACTCACAACCAATCTACCCGTTGCATGGAATTCGTCAATTTTTCTCCGGGTGGACGAAACCCGTGTCGACATTATCAAAGTACTGATCACAGGACCTGAAGGTACGCCGTAAGTATCGTTTGGCCTTTCACCGTCTCCTCCGTTGACCTATGATTGTGCGTCGCTCTTCGTCCAGATATTATAATGGATGGTACGTTGGCCTTTTCAGTCTGGATACCCGATTCTTGATGAATTTTATAGCTATCTCTTCGATGTATTCCTCGGGCCCAACTACAATCAATCTCCACCGAGTGTCAAATATATGACGGTAAGGCAAGGCGACATCGGCATTATCATCCCAAGTAACGCCTAATTTCAGACGAATGGGGGCAAGTTTCGTTTCAATCCTAACTTGTATGCGGTTGGTTTTCAAGGATTTCCTCTCGATTGATAGTGTACTGATCTATCGATCAGGATGGAAAAGTTTGCTTGTCTCTTCTCGGAACATGGTCGGGCCCAGGCTGGGTAGCGGGCAGGTCGACACTCCTTCAGGTATCCAATTGCTCTCAACTGTCTCGCATATGAATTGATGTAGTAACCGTTGCATAGGTTCTCATATCCATTCAATCTATGATTTTGTGTGAAGAACCGTATTTGAATGAGCCAGGTTGGGCACAAAGTGCTGGAACTCCTCAATCGCGCGCATGTGCGTCGGCTAGCTTTAGATTTTTTTTGATTCACCAATTGAAAATTTACCCGTTCAGATTCAGCGAACGTGAGGCGGATGGTCGTCCGGACTGCCGTGCGTGTTACGCTTGTCGCGTGTTGCAATTCGCCGTTAATGCTCCGCTATGCCTCACAGATGTTGGGCAATTTGAAGAACCCGCCGGAACCGTTCGAAGATGTGATTCGGACTCACTTTCGCCTGAAGACACGCTCTATCATCGCACAACTCAATGAATGGCTTGCCCAAGATGACGAGAAACCTATCACTGACGGTGGTTATGGTGGTCCTCGAACACCTGCCAGTGGAAGTTCTAACGGTTTTCAGGCCGACATTGAGGAGTTAAAGGGCTTATTAGCACAGTTACAGACTACTAGTGGCGGTAGCGCAGTAGCTACATGAAGCACCTGCATAGTAGTGTCTCATCCCCCTCCCTTGACAGTGTAGTCATTTTCTTTTCGTGGCATAACTCAGATATCATTCGGCAATAAGTAGTAGTCCAATGTATAATGTGGCTCAGGCGAAATCATTCCGACCCTTGAGTCTTATGCATGAGTGACAATAACATGTGATTTCCCACGTCGGGAACAGTGCGCGCTGTAGAAGTAGACATACACCTGAAATGCACGCCGTCAGTACTTCAAGCCATCAAGCCATCACCCCAATCATTTGTGATTTACCACCATCTGCGTGCTTTGGTGCTTGTATCAACCAATAAAACTGCGATGCTTAGCGATTCAACTATCCACGCCGTTGCAGGCGCCGCAGGTGGCATCCTAGCCATGTCGGCGACATAGTAGGATTTTGTACTGCTTAGGGTCGCGAATATCAAGCCTGATCTCTGGCCCACACAGCCCGCTCATATTCCTATCCACACGAGCTGCAGTGGAGACGAAGGAGCATAAGGTGAGTGCACGGTTCTACGCCTCGTATACTCGCGCGTGAACCGCAGGTGTACGAACAGTCGACATACGAAGCTATCTTGGATATTATCAGACGGGAAGGTTTTTTTGGGCTATACAGTGGCCTGAATTCTAGCTTACTTGGAATTGCTGTCACCAACGGGTATGTCACAATCTGTTGCTACACTCATCTTAGCCTAATTGTGAGGGCCGCTACGTGGTTAGGGTATACTACTACTTCTATGAACGATCACGAGGGGCGATAGTAGGCTCCATGAGGGGCGGAAAAGGAATGACCACGGTTGAATCTATGCTAGCTGGTTTGATTGCCGGGTCAGCGACCACAATTATCAGCAACCCCATCTGGGTGGTCCAGACGTCCCAGGCCGTTGGTTCGCTTCACAGGTCTCCAGCTGCTGATTCGAGCGGCTCTCGAGTGAAGCTGGGCATCATCGAGACCATTCAGCACATTCTCCGCAAAGATGGCATTGGAGCCTTCTGGCGTGGCATTGGACCCGCCTTGGTGCTTGTAATCAACCCTGTATTGCAATATACAGTCTTTGAGCAGCTGAAGAATATTTTGGTGAGGCGGCGAACCGCTCAATTACGAGCAGTAGGTCCGGCAGCGGCTGTCGTCGCGGTGCTCACAGACTGGGACTATTTCTTCCTCGGCGCTCTATCAAAGCTTGGTATGTTGCTATGGTCTGCGTTGCACAACAAGTTATGTGCTGATCATGCGTGTCTAGTTGCTACCTCGTCGACATATCCATACATGTAAGTGCAGTAAGTATTCGCCTGGTTCACGCTCAAAGTATTTTGGATTCAGCGTCATCAAGAGCAGGCTGCACGCAGGGCATGCAAATGCTCTCAAGTACAAATCCTCGCTAGATGGGCTACTTACCATAGTCAAAGAGGAGGGTGTTGAAGGTTTATACAGGGGCGTTGCAAGCAAATTGCTTCAGAGCGTCTTGACTGCTGCTTTTCTGTTCATGTGCCAAAGGCGCTTGTACGAAATCACAAAACAAGTGCGTTATCGGTCTCACCGGTTGATATCACAATGGCTTACACTCAATCGATGAACAGGCAGTCAAGCCTGTATTTTCTCGTTAGCGATTGTAAGTTTAAGCTTCCTTTTTAATTTAAAGACTATATCTTGACGAATCTTCAACACGGCTCCAGAAAACATATGTAGAGTCAGTGAGGATCCTACATGCAGAATAGCTGTGGTAAGATCCCGCAGTATTATATATTTGAGCCAAATCAATCAGTACCGTGACATTGGGCGATTTCAACTGACTGTCAACGGCCAGTGTACAATTGCCAGTGAGCTCCCATCCGGCTGTCTGATGGCTCGTGTTCATGCTCTACTTGCGAACAGGTCCTTGATGTGAACGATCTTACGGAAGAGCAGGGGCACTCAAACAGCCCCACAGCTGGGATAAGTCTAGGGGTACACGCGATTCAAATATCCGGCATTTTGTGCTAGCAAGGTGGATCACGACCATCTTGCGTGGCTCTGTTAACCTGTTGCTCCGCGCTCAGACCGAGAAGACGATGAATGATTTCATCATTGGCAGTTGCAAGGACACTGACCGAGCTGAGGTGATGCGAGATGTGTTGGTGATGCAGAGAGTTACGTTGAAGCCTGAGTCAAAAAGCGAAATCGTAAGTTGAACGTTGACTACTGGAGGCGAGTCAACGGAACTCTTCTCGCCATTGATTCCACGATCATCATCTTTGTGGGATGGGAGGGTTCAACCAGCGGCCTGCATTAACATGGGGAGGCTGTCTGCATGCGAAGCAGAACAACACTCCTTCGAGACAGCTGCCCTAAGTCCAGATGCCGTCTCATACATGCAAAAACAATCCTTCGAGCCGGGTTCGAACCAGCGACCGCAAGATGATTTATCCATTACAGTCTTGCGCTCTTCCAACTGAGCTATCGAAGGATACTGATGGAGACGGTCGGGATGTTCATCGGTGCGGCACGTCGTTGCCAGGCTGTCAAATTGCTCGGAATCCGTCAAGCGATCATACCAAAGCCCTTGATGCTGGATTCAACATATACATGCCCAGAAACTATGGTACAAGGAGGCACATCTTGGGCAGGACAATCCGGCTGTTTCGTCTGGGGCAGTCCTTACAGCGGGACAGACACGTCCTTGCTGATTGTAAGCACCATACATTCTCACTCGGCTCATCGCTCACAAAGTAACTAGTTTGACGATATTGTATCATAGCACCGTTCACTAACTGCACCGATATATTAGACTCAAGCACGGGATGGCAATGCAACCAAATTTACCATCGGCGACTCGCCAGACGTCTGAGTACGAGACCAGCTCGCCATCAGAAACATACCCGAAAATCGTCTTTTCGGGGGTCCCTTAGTCCGAACTCAGTCGATGATTCTGACAATAGTCGCTGCCAATCAGGCACCGTTGCTTGTGTTTCAGCTGCCCGCCGGCGCCACTATTTGTATTCTTGCCGTTGCATCTCCTCCTCTCCTGCGTTACGCCCTTCGAGGCTCACTTTGATCCCTATGGCCACTCTCCAATTCAATAGCTCTGCCGTCATTCTTGATGATACTAGTCCTTTGATATCGTACTCGTCGGGCTGGGTACTGGCAGGAAGCAGCGCAGAGTACAACCAAACTCGGCATGGGGCTTCGACTGCAGGTCAGACGGCCACGTTCACTTTCAACGGTAGGTCGACTACAAAATCTGTCACTGAGCTGAGCAGCGCCACTCATATAGTCTGTAGGTACTAGTATAGCGGTGTACGGATCGCTGGGATCGATCGACGTCTATGGACAACCACAAACACAGTATTCCATCGACGGAGAGGTGTCGGCAGTTTACGATGCGCCAATAATCACCCCTGGAACGTATACCGATCATACACTCTTTTACTGCTCGCCTCCCCTCACGGCAGGAGTGCACACGCTAGGGATCGAGAATCTGAACGGAACAGCTCCCAGCGAGTTTTGGCTAGATTATATTATTTATGTTCCCTCCGATCTGCAGGCGGTGTTGGCAACTTCTACATCCCAGACGTCAGCCGCTCCCACCACATCGTCCTCTTCAAATTCGGTCGCGACAACGACCACTCCAACGTCGACCCCTCCAGTGTTGACTCCTCCAACATCGACTCCTCCAACATCGACTCCTCCAACATCGACTCCTCCAACATCGAATTCTCCAACATCGACCGCTTCAACATCAACTACGTTAGCGTCATCCTCTTCTACTTCTCCAACATCGACTGTTCCAACAAGGGCCGCTACCACATTGACCAATCCGCCCTTGCCGACCGCTCCCGCTACCATCACTACATCTGTATCAAGCACCTCGAGTGGTATGCTTTTCAACACTATGGCTACGTCTACACTCACCCTTATGGTCCTAGGTACTGCTGGAAAGGTCGCCTCCGCGGCGTTATCGTCCAAGTCCACAAATGTTGGGGCAATTGCCGGAAGTGTGGTGGGTGGGGTTGTTGGCCTGGCTCTGATATTCGCCGCTTTGTTCTTCTTCTATCGGCGTAAGCGAAACACGGGAGTCTACTTCGGCGATGGTATCCTTGCTGCATCATGTAAAGAGCACTCTTGGGTTCATTTCCGATTCTTCACTGATATGCCTTGACAGCCGATGCCCGTCCTTTTGCTTCTTGGCCAAATGACAGTGTCATTACTGGGCAGAACTTCAGGCAGAGTACAGACATACAGTCTTCGCTGGGTAGCCCGTCTCAGCATATGGGAACGTATGTCCATAGTCCTACCCAACATTCAAGCACGACCAGCACTTTGCCTTACCCTGCTACACTGCCAGCGGGTATTGCAACCACCCATGAAGTACGCACCCTTCCTACCATCGCGGGCGGATCCGTTGACGTCTTCCCTCTTCCGGAAAAGGCTTCGCAACCAGTTCCTGATTCTGCCCACATATCCTCTGGATCTACCGTTTCTCTCCCGCGCCGCTTGCCTGATCCCGAGATTCGTTCCATGCTATCCACCGTCGGAGATACCCCTCCCGCATATACTCGCTGATTACGTCGAACATCAATCCAAGGTCAGCGTAATCGCAGATGACCGGATAGCTTTTCATCAGACTATTCAACTTAAATTCCCACAATCATTTAAGCCTTTATTCCTTCCTCCCTTACGGGTGATGTTTCACGACTCAACACAATACTGTGCGTTGCTGCGTTGCTGTACGTTCTCGTTATGACGACTTTACTTTTTCATGATGATTCTGTAACCCTGTATTCATGAAGCCTTGGACAGCCCTGGATGTCGTTTGCCTATTCTTATTACGCTGGTAGATTCATATTTAAGTTGTAACTTGATGCTAGCATGGCGTTCGGACAACGATTGCGAGTTTTAAACGTAGCAAAGCCCTGAGTGCGATCTGCTAGACAATCACATACGACTGAGCGTCCTGTCAGCTGAGACATGAGTCTACATGCATACTAGTTCAATGTAAAATTTGAGCGCAATTTCGACGCCAGAGGATACAAGTCGGGCAAGTATTTTGGACAGTGTTCGGGCTTACAATACTACATCATCGTCTGAAGTTGAGCTCTGATCCACTCATGCATACGTCATTGACTCCATCCACACCTGGCCGTGACGGTTTTCGGAATTGTGCGTCTCAGGGATTCGAGTATTCGAGCATGAGGTCACCGGTCATCTCAAGTACTGTCAAAAAGTCAGGGTGTCGTGGTTCTTATACATTCCGCCCGTTTATCACATTTAAACCAAAAAATCAGCAACTGGTAGTAGTTCATTTCCGCTGGTATTTTGAATTTAGCCGATCAAATTGCTGCGGAGTGAGTCGGACCATGCCGTTTGTACGTCCGAACCGTCACACTGGCAGTTGAGTCAGAGCTACGGTGATGAGCTTATCTCGCTCAGCCTTAGGTAAATACACTTTTCTCCCGCGATATAGAATTCCACTCAAGACATAATGGAGTTGTCACTCTCGTAGATCTATGCTCTGGAACGGGCGGCAGACATCAAAGATACTCACCTACCGTATCTAGTTGTGGGTGTGAACACGATGCACTGTACCAAGGGCTCGATCGATCCACACAAATATATTGTCGGAGATTTGGTTTGGCTCCAAGGCTTCTTTGCCGTACTTCTTCTTTCCTGAGGGTCTGTCTTTATGGTATTCAAGTTTTCTATTGTTGAATCTCGATCAGCAGGCGCGCCTACATATATCAGGCTGAACTCAGGGCTTAGATTCAGCCGTGGCCTTCTTCACTGACAAATGGGCATCTCTCTTCGGATTCTGTATGTCTTTGCCATATCTGACCTACTTATTTGATGCAGGGCCTGTTCATACGTTAATTGTGTTTTCTTGTCATATGTCGGTATCCTCGAGCACATTCGACTCACCTCAAAACAATCTTCACCCTTGTTCGTGTGAATTACGTCTGCCGGACGTTGCCATGCACTGATTTTGTGAATTTTAGGACCTCATAATACACTACGTCCGGTCGAATGAGCCGCGCTATACTCAGCAACTATCAGCTTAAACTAAGCAAGCCAAAGAATTATCGGCATGTTTAAGTATGCTAAGAGGACTGGCGGAGCATCTTCCATCATTGGTATTTACGAGCATTATACACCACTACTGTTGCACCACGCGCGAAGTGAACCCTCCCAATGGGGCATCCACCAACATGATGGCGAATGAGTGAACAGAATCGATCATAACGTCGCGTTTGTGCGGCCTAATGGTTGCAGTTGGCAGGACGTTACTGTATGCGCCAACAAGTAAGTGGTCAAACTGAACCCAGACATTCAACACTAATTCTGGCACTATGTTGGCTATAGTGTCAGTGTTTGGTCGCGCCTGAGGCCCGCCCCTCCAGGTGCTTCTAGTCGGCGTAGATTGATACTCCTGGTCCCATGAGAGCTAACGCCTTCGCCGACATGAATTTTTCTCCCTGGGTTGATGGAAAGCTCTATACATGTTTTTGTGTAGAACGCTACGCCATTCCGCTGGCCGCCGCGCAGATGAACGGTTTACGTCTTGGAAGCAGTTTACCCAAGACCTTGACAATTGATGAATTCTTTGAGCTGGTAAGACTGACTCTTGGACATATTTATAATGGCCCTCAAATTTTCCCGCCCTGACTTGAGTCCGCTAGTCGACTTGCCACTGCGAAAATTCTTTGTAGGGTAAATATTCATCGTCAATACAGTTCAGCGCCTAAACATCGCCCACATGTTCCCTCTCTTGTATACGATTATCGGTACGTTCATATTGGACCTTCACAATTTTCTTTATCTGTGCCTTGAGAGAGAATCTAACAGCATATCTTAACTCGCTTCCGCATACCAGAATTATCTTTTTCATCTTATTGTCTAACTTACGTCCATCGTGGATACGCCACTCCACTTATTCTTTAGAAGCCAGGGTCTGTGAGATTCTTCCAGCACATGGCAACTTGTGAGGTAATGTACTGGTACCATCCTTTGTCTCTTCTTTCACTGTTGCAGAAAACATTTTCCTTCCCGACACATCGCAGACGAGTCTCGACACCCACGACTCAATTGCGGCACTGAACTTCCAGAAGTATTCTGATGTTCCAATAGAAATCCAAGGCGAAGCCCCCAAACGTAGATGATCCTCTTAGTCTCAATTCGTAGCGTATAAGGTGCCAATTGGCCGGTGAAATGACATGGGGAGTTTGACCGAGTCAGATTCGCAGCCGCATGGTTTGACTCAAGCTTCTCGATGGGCAGAATTCTAGCCCTTTCTGCAATCTTTTTCTGATTGAAGACGTTTGCGCAGTGCGTCCGCGAGTTCGAGTCGCGTAACACCAGCCATCCCATATTGTGTAGTTTTCAGATCCTAGCTTGTGCTTCTCTAGAGCAGCTTCCATTGCTTTAGTCTTCGTGTTCTGCCCAGTGCACAATAAAGATGAGATTCTTTCCTTATCTCCTCGCCATCTGCAGTTTCTCTGTTAAATAATGGAACGGGTGGTTGCCGGAGAGAGACGCACCGTCGCGGAATAATTGTTGGTATAGACCATACATAGACGTTGCGACTCGTGATCGGTGGCGTCTCGCGTGCCGGCGAATGCATCCCACGGCTACATCTCGTTGTTACTTACTACTCATCACTTCACTTCCTCTTATCCCGCCGGGAGCTCACTTCTTGATCTGGCAGATCGTAATCATTTCTGGCTCGCTGTTCCGCTTGTGCGAGTCAAGAAATGTTTCCGTTCCTTCCGCGGAAAGTTGCCCAGTCCACCCGATCTACCACCACAGCCACCTCACAGGCCTCGAAGGCACCACGTACTGTGGTCCAAGCAAGGTGTGACACAGCATCAGATGTTATCCTGAACTCTTGGCCCGCAGACGAATCTGCAAAGGGCACACGAAGGCAGGCGGATGATGCCTTGCTTAGCCAGGACTACTCCATCTTAGTCTGTCTCTCACTGTCTGATTACGCTCTATGGTCTAACTCGGATTTGCGACGAACTCTCGTCTCTGGGAATGACGGATGTGTGTCGTCTGTTCATCTTTCGCAGTGATGTGGGCTAATGATCTATCCTGCTGGCGGCTAGTTCTTCCGATCAGTTACCTCTTTCATCATTCGCCATTTCTGTCAGCATTGGAGCACCTGCCTGCCGAAACCATCGTTGTGAAGTCTATACGCACCTATGCCGATGATTATCTAGACGTTCGCATGCGAGTCTCTGCACCTTCTTCTTCGACATGGCACCGACAAAATGCTGCCGAAGAATTGGGCGGATATGAAGTGAGAAGGAAGAGCTGGCAAGCGGCGTTGAAGCAGGCGCGCCATCTCAGTAAACTGGAGTGGGATAATAGGACAGTATATCTGGTATGGGCTTGAATCTGTTTAAACATCGACATCCTGATGACGACATCTTTTGACACAGGAGAATATACCGTTGAAATTTCGGACCGTCCCTGCTATATACACTCTCACAAACTTTTTGATCACAGGCGCATCGTCATCTACAAATCCCGCGGAAGTTGTGCAACATATATGGCTACCTCCTCATCACCAGGATCACTCTGGAGATCGACCAAAATGCAAAGGTTTCGCTCTTGTTACGTTTGCTCAACATGAATATGCAGAATGCCTACTCCAAGGGTGGCCTTGGGATCCCCGACGAAAGGACCTTGGAGGATTCGATTTGGTGCACGTTACAGAAGCGCAGGAAGCCATCAACTTTGGCTTCCGTACCCTGCCGCGCACACGATGGATCCAGCTGAACGAGGAATACCGCACTTATCGTCAGAAGCTCCTCGATGTGATTGCGCACGCGGACGAAGGTGCCGCGCAACAAAATTTTGGCGCATACCATAGTACAGGACGGCATGTGGTCATAGAGGATCATCCGTCCTTGGCAGCTGCACCCGTTGCCCTTGCCGTTGATCATTCGTTTTTGACCGCACCTATGGATTTGTCGGCACCGTTTCCCCGGGGATGCCTTGTCTTCGTGCGGAACGTACATCCTGAGTCAAACAAGACAACCTTGCGCGCGCTCTTCTCGCAAATGTTCTCAGCTTGGTCTCCAGATGAAAAGCTCTCAGGTGGCGTTGACTATGTAGATTTCAACAAGGGCATGGATTCGGTTGGTGTTACCATTGAATGCGTTACCACAAAAGCTAATGCATTCCTCTCGCAAATAGTGTTACCTACGCTTGACAAACCCGCGACACACTCAGATACTAGCAACATTCTTCGCTGAAAATATCCGAATACAAATGCAAGGTCTCGACACCAGTGGCGACGACTCGTCCACGTCTTCCCGAGCAAAGGCAATTACAGTAGAAGTCGTCGACGGCACCAGAGAAGAATTGTACTGGAACAAAGTACCTGAAAAGGTGCGTCGAGAGGCTGTCGAGAGAGCTGTCAAGTGTACGTCAGGGAATGCCATCAATGACGATAGCCATGATGCACCCCAAAACAGTCATGGCGCGCGCAAGCGGAAACGGAGAAAATTACAGAGCTGAGGTATATCCATAGCGAAATGCAACTATACCCTGTTATTGTATCTTACAGATTAGTGTCATCATACCTATATGTGCCAAGCTGTCGTAGTTATAATTATACATCTCATCATAAGTCCCAGACGTCATGTCCCAAAACCTTCTGCTTTGAGGCGTTCCCGAAGCCGCACGAGGGCCTTGCCGAGCTGATTCGCCCCCTGACCGAGAGGCCCGTCGCCCCAGAAGTTGTCATTGCGGTCGTTGAACACAAGGTCTGCGATGTCAGTGCTTAGCAACACAGCGCGTAATGTTGGATACTGGATCATTTTTTGATAAAGAATCTCATCCATCTTCGCTGACACTTGTCAGCGCAGGCCATATATGTTGACACACCAGTACTGACCTTGTCCAGAAGAACATTCTCCCAGTCAGGCCGCATGTCATGGTGCGATGCCACCGACACCGCGCGCGCCTCTTCTACACTCCCACTTGTGCGGATACGTTCTGCGATATCTGGTCGGTGGTCTATGAACTTCATTGCCTCCAGTAAATGGAACGCGGTAGGATACGACTTGGAATTATAGTGAACTCGATGTGGCGACCAGTGGATGAGCCCTGCCAGCTCGTTGCCAGGATCTACCTTCATCACCGGTCGCGCCGGGGCTGGCGTGGCCATGCGTCCTGGCGTGGGTGTATGTATCCTGGCAGGAGACGGGCCGCGCCAGGTGTCGGGCCCTGGCATCCCCGCTGGCATGGGTGTAGCTCCTTGAACAGGAATAGGGACCGCGCCCCCGTCAGCTGCGACCTGCATCATTTGTGAGGGTATGTTGTACATGAACGCTGGGTTGCCATCAGACATTTGCTGCATCGTAGGAACTGCGTACATAGCAGGCTGAGCCAGGATGGGCGGGGCACCCACGTCGTCATCGTCATCGATCTCGTCTCTCCGGCGACGGGACCCGAAGACGTTGAGGAGGCTACCCTTGCGGCGATGCCGCCGTGTACCTGTCCGCGGAGCAGTCCGGTAGTCCGCCCCAACGTTGATGTGCATCGGTTGCGAGCCAGGGATAATGATGTTGCGTTTGATTGTCGATTCGTCGACAGGCTTGCGGAGCTCTGCTAGAAGCGAGACGTACGGCGACATCTCGAATATATCTTTGGGAGGCTCAGGAAGCGGGTTGTTAAGTGGCGTCTCTGGCACACTGTACGGTCCATACTGGCCAGGTGCCAGCCGCGAATTTTGGGGCGGTGGAAAAGCAGAATCAGGGACCTGAGGTTCAGGGAACTGAACGGGTTCTGGCATGGCAGACTGCTGGGGCATCTGTGGAATCACTGGTGCGTTATTAGTTTGTTGGCCTGCAATATTTGGGATGACAGGTTGTGGCATGGTCATCGCAGGATCATCTTGGGCATAGATAGCTGGTGTCTGTGTCCGCGTTCTCACCCGCATCCTCCCAGAATTTGGCACGATATTTGGAACGACATTGGTCGCGTTCACGTTGGGTATAGTGGGGATAACCGGTCGCGAAGTGTTGTGTGGTGGCCGCGGGAAGTGCATGAGCGGTGGGGGTGTCTGCGCGAGCCGGTACTGCTCGGGACCTGCGTTCCTTGGCCATCCCGCAGTCAGGACACGCATGCAGCAGCGCTACGAGATACGGCCAGAGACATTGACGTACGAAAGGAAAGCGATTGCGGAAACTGCTGCATTTGAGGCTGGATATTTTGGTTATAATCATAATCGTAGACGTCGTCATCGCGTTTGGATTTGTACCAGGGCCTCTGGCGCCGAGATTTTGTGGGTGGTTGGAAGGCATTCGGATGGGGGTATATGGAATCTCCAGGGTAGCCGCCAGGACGAGATGTGTTGTTTCCCATGGAGGGGCAGTGGCGATTCCGAGTCTCCAACTAGTCGATTACCAGCAACGTTCAATCAGCGGCAGTTCGTATCGTGCCACGTGATTGACACCCTGGCGCGATCGAGCCCGCTGATGTCGATGAGCCTTCAGCCTTTCAGTGGCAGTTCAAGTTCCTCTCAGTGAGCCTCGCCGCAGATTTATAGCAGAAACAACGCTGGCATTCATACCTGAAAATCATAAGTCGCGCGTTCTCCGGCGCGTCGTTATCGCTCGTCTTGCAGCCTGCAGGTCGGGATCCGAGTCAGCGCTTCGTCACTTTCCACTGGTGCGCGTTGTCAGGGCTCTCTCGATAAGACAACCTACTGATGATTTGTTGACCAATGTCAGTGTTCATCATGAATATCATCAGCATCACAAAAATTCGCAGTCGGGCTTTGCAACCTTGCACAGGCTGTTGGGTGTGGCGTGGAACGATCAGTTCTGGCTCAATTAAATCTTATGAATAGTATGAGCGTTTCATTCAGATGCTGACCTGTATCTCCTAGGCTCCCATCCCTCTTCAGCAACGCTTTGCACTTTGCATCTTGCAACTTTTCCATCTAACATGGCGCATTCGATATTCATCACACATATCATCTTGTCAGCAATCTTAAGTGACTTTCCATACCTACTCTTGTTGGGCATAATTTTTTCTGTACTCTCGAATGTGTCCTCTGTCTCGGTGAATAGGACTATCGATGATAGGCTTGGTGACCCCATAACTGGTCTTATGCCTATATATAATGGCAGCTGGAATTTTGGCCCAGAGTGTCCTGTCTGTATCGTGCTGCCAAACATCAACAAGACGTTCGACCGGACATGGCATGACTGCACCGTTTATCCTACTGACACAGCCCCTCACACTGTATCGCTTACATTCAACGGTTAGTCTCTTGATTCGTATATGAGCCCAAAGTACTGAGCCATGTCCGATTAGGTACTGCTATCTGGGTCTACTGCGTGATCCCTAACTATGTGGAGTATGCAATTACTCTGACGAACGTCAGTATAAATCTGGATGGGGAGAACGTCGGTATATACACTCACATCCCGGAAGAGGATACAAGTGAGATGATATATAACGTTTCCGTGTATACCAATACGAACTTGGAGAACACGCTGCACACAATCGTTCTTGAACCACTTCGCCAAACTAATTCGTCTGTTTTTCTCTTTGACTGGGCACAGTATACGTGAGCGCCATGCCTTCGATCAGAGCCACGGTAATAATATCATGATACAGATTCGAGTCGGACGAATTGCCGTCGTCACAATCTTCCATCCCCCCCTCTACGGTTGTTACTACCTCCCCGGCTACTCCTGCACATACTGCACGCTTATCCTCCAATGCCCCGGGGGTCAACATAGCAGGCCTTGCTGCAGGTGTCACTGTCGGAGCGGTCGTTCTCCTTTTATCGATCGCCACATTCCTTTACTGGCGCCGCAGAAGCGACAGGAACAAAGCTACACAGATCAGTGTGGGTGAGTCTGTAACCCCGCTGCAATACAAGGCACGCGCAGCTCCCATGCGAAGCAAGGCCACACGTTCACATCCTCGAATGCAAGATCCCTCGTTCACCGACTTGCACGGGAGGCTACTCTCCGAGTCGCCACACACATCCGCCATTTTTCGTAGCGCAGGCTCGTCCGGAGCACCCAGGGTGACGAATCCACTAGTTGCTAATGAATACAGTTCTAACGAGGCGATGTTGGAAAGGCGGGTCGAGGATATACAATCAGAGCTCGACAGGCTGAGAGCAATTGTGTCACTAGTAGCCCCATCGGCGCCCCCTTCTTATCGAGATGAGTGACTTGCATGACTCAAATGCTCTTCTTCATCTCTGCGCAATGGGCTGCAAGTCACATGTAAATGGGTTGGAGGGTGTTAATGTCAAGTAGTGCTACATAAGGTATCTTTATTTATAAATATATATATATAGTAGCTACCGCTGGCCTATATCAGGGATGTAAACAGACATGCGATAGTCAAGGTTCACACCTGCATGAGACTGACCCTCTATCTCGACCCGTCTACTTGCCTTAGCCCTTGCCAAGTTGGATTATGGAGTCAGTGGGGGGGGGG